GGGGGGGAGGGGTTGAATAGCATTCTTTGAATACCTGTGTGGTCCAATAAACATCTATGGACGAGACAGAGGAATGGATTGAGATGAATTTTATTAATTTCTTTTCATTTCAGTATCTCCGGGTGCACCTGAGCTACGTAAGGCTGGAGGAGGACGGGTTGCGGAGAAAATCACAGGACGGGCAGGAGAGGAGCTCAACCTGGAGTGCGTATCTGAGGGAGGGAATCCTGCTCCACTCCTATCCTGGAGAATTGGAGGGAAAACTATTAAACCTAGTGGAGATCAGGATGACACATTACAGACTGGAGGTTACTGGAGCTCAACCTCCAGGTTGCTTCTCCCTGTCTCCAGGGATGATAATGGAGCAACTGTAGAATGTATCCTGGAACACTCTACTATAGAGGAACCTAGCACTAGTTCCTTAAACCTGGAGATATATTTCCCACCCCGGGTAGAACTTACAACAAGTTCTCCTGCTCCTCTGCCAGAGGGAGCATCTGTTACCCTGAGCTGTGATGTGACCAGCAACCCTCCTGCCAAGATATCCTGGAGAAAGATAGGACTCGGAGAGAGTATCCTGGTTGGGAGTTCTCCGAACCTGGTTCTCAACCCTGTGAGAAGAGAGGATGATGGTAGCTACCAGTGCTCAGCTGAGAATGAGCTTGGATTGTCTAAACCTGAAACTGTTCTTGTTCAAGTTCATTGTAAGTTTCTTTCTAACCCATCCTCCATACATCTGTCTAACTGTCGAACTTTCTACCTATTTTGCACCCCAGCTGTCTATTCATTCATCTATTTATTCTCTCCAACTATCTATCATTTATCCATCCATTTGTGTACTTATCTCTTGGTTTATCTTTTCTTCCGACCATACGTGTCCATCCTNCCCCCCCGGCCCTTCATCCTCTTTTATTCTTTTATCTCTTTGCACAAACTTTTCCGGAGATTTTTTCTAATTCTCCAACTTTGTTTTATATTCTTTCCAATCAGTGTAAAAAGGATTGAAACTTTACTCAATTTCTAAAATTTGATCAAGGGAAAGTTTATATATAATAAATATCTATAAATAAGTTTAAGCTCTGATAAAGTTGATAAGTTTTCTAGGTTTGTTTATTTTATATTTTATATGTTTGAACTTGGAATAAGAAACTCTCATCTTTTCTCTCGTGGAAAATCCTTGGTGTCTCTGGAACACTCTCTCTATTTCCCTGGAACCCCATCTTGCTCTCGTTTTATCTATATGGAACCATCTCTTTAGCTCACTGGAACCATCATTTTATCTTGTGGAAACGTCGCTTTATCTCCCTGGAACCATCTTTTTATCTTTCTAGAGCCACCTTTTTTCTCTTTGGAACTATCTCTTTATCTCCCTGGAACCATCTTTTTATGTCACTAGAACCATTTCATTTCCCTCAAATCTCCTTCTAGTCTTCTAAAACCGTCTCACTATCTTCCTTGTTCAGTAAAATCACCTAAAACAATATTTCCGTCTCTTCTATCAATCTTTTATAGCATTTCCTACATTCTTTCTACCCTTTTTATCATTCTGTAACTCCGATCTTTCTTTGCAACCCTAAAACCATCTCTCTATTTATTCTATTTATATCTTATAGCATTTCCTACATTCTTTCTACCCTCTTTATCATTCTGTAACTCCAATCTCTCTTTGGAACCCTAAAACCATCTCTCTATCTCCCTGGAACCTTCTCTCTATATGTGTATATAACCAAACGGATTGATGCATAGAACTAATAATATCTGCAGTTCTGTTTTTCTTTCTCTTTAATTAAGGATATTGCTTCTTTGCGTTCATTAGACCCTCCCCTCCTCTCTCTTCTCCCACTCTCCAATATTCGACTATATATTCTACTTGTTCAGATTTCATACTTTTCTAAATCCGTCCAATTCAATAGCTTTTAACTTCTACGTTTCTTTAATAGTCTTTTAATTTGATTTCTCTTCTAACCTAAGCACTTCTGACTCCTTGATATATTTAACTAATCCTAATCTTGTTCAGATGCTCCTGTGATTGCTGGTCTATCTGCTACCGGTAGAATCGAAGTTCAGATCGGAGAAATGAGAACTCTACGGTGTCATACTCAGGGTTCTCCGAGTCCTAATATCCAGTGGCTGCAACAAACACATACCGGAGAGGTTCTTGTGCGTGGCTATGATGAGGAACTAAAGATTGAGCGGGCTAGTTATCAGCACCAAGGTAGTTTTGTGTGCTCTGCTAAGAATACTATCGGAGAAGTTCAATCTGATCCGATCCTCATTGATGTTCTTGGTAAACCTGAGATAGATCGGATAAAGGTGAAGACGGAGTATGTGTTAAACCTAGGAGAGGATCTCAATGCTGTGGTTGAATTCTGCGCTAAACCTGCTCCACGTGTAACCTGGAACCTGGGTCCGGTAGGGCAGGCTGATAGGACAGTAGAGCTCATAGCAGGGTCAACCTTCGAGCGATTCCATGCCGGGAGTAGTCATGTGATCTCCGAGTATTGTTTCTCCGCCAGTCTTCTCATCTTTAGTGTCAGGTTGGAGGACTCTAAAGAGTTCATTCTCCAGGTGGAAAATGATTACAGGAAAGAAACTCTTCCACTCCGCGTTGTTGTGATTGATACAAGACTATTTACCGAGGAAGTATTTGCTGCAATTATAGTCGGAGGAGTTCTGACAATTCTCCTGCTCAGTGTTATTATTATCTACGTGGTTCGGATTGGTTGTTGCTCCGGTGGCCCTCCTAAGGATTCAGGCAGTGATCGTACGGACCTGGAGAGCTGTAGAAGTAGTACAGTTAGTCACAACAGTCACAATACAATACCTCCTGATGCACTCTACGGTACTGTCAAGAAATCATACTTTGAACCAGAGTTTAATAACTCCAAAGAGAAACTTCGACCTGATCTTCTCCGCTCTGGTGAAAACAGTCCTTACTCCGGGAGAAGTTACTCCGTTCAGCAGGGAACGATAAACCCTATCGGAGTGCATTCTGGCACCCTGAGAAAAACTAAAGTGAATCCTAACATAGATCCTAAACTTTCTGGAAGTTTGAGGAAGAGTGGAAAATATCCTGAGTACCGTAGTCAAGGAGTGGATTGTCAGATTAGTAGTTCATGTCAATCCAACTCATCTCTAGACGATATACTTTACTCTTATAGTTCTAATATACAGTATAAAGGACAGGTTTAGCTCCTCCATTGTAGGTTTAGCCTGCTCCGGGTGCATATTTAACAGCTCCTGGTTTAACAGTAGCTCCTTCTCCGGAAAATGCACCTTCAATGGAAGGCTGTTTCCTGGCATAAATTTATAAATAGATTATTATATTACATTGTCTCATTGTTCATGATTAATAAACGATTAATAATATATTCTGAATACAAATGAATATTGTGAAACTGAGGTCAATATTTAGAAAACAATTAAACTTACACACACACTGCAGTCACAAACACATATTAGACAGAGTGAACCATATCACAAAGGATTATATTTATGAAGAATTCAAGGACATAGTAAGGAAAGTAAAAATAAAGAAATTGAGTCTTTGCCTTAAACTCAAATATTCTAACCAAATGGTGTGAACCTTTGATATTTGAAATAAAGTTATTTGATCTAACAGAATTTATAGTTTGTAATATCTAATGTCTACGACCTGGGTCATCAAAGATATTCTGATTTGAACAAGACTCAATTCGTTTTAAATTTATTTTTAACGTATCTTAATCAACTTCAAGAAAACGATAGATAATAGAAAACCTACATTTTCAAATTCCTTTATCTTTTTAACCCGATGGCGAAGACCGTTGATATTTCAAACTATAAATGCTGTTGGATCAAATAGTCTAAGTTTAAAATATCAAAGGTTTACACCATAAGGTTGCACAGATTTAAGTAAAAGAAAATTTTAGTTTGTGGCGAAAATTCAATTCTTTTACTTGATTATTATAAATAGGTTAGGTGTTTTAGCGGAAATCCCGCAAAGAATTTAAAATAAACCTTGAACGGCGACCCAGAGGACCCAGAGTGACCATGTCAAGAATTCAATTAGGACAAATTGACATCTCCTGGTGGGGATTAAATGAATGGATTAACATACTTCCTAATTATCAATCTAAATTTACAAATTTATTATTTCTTCAATCACCGTCTTAAAATAGTTTAGACTAATTTTAATTCATTCTTATTTCCGATAAAAGATTTCAGGGATTATTCCGATTAATCTAAATATGTTCGACAATAAAATCAGGAACGTAAACAGGAACAGGGGGGATAAATTTTTTTCTTTAAGGGGGGGGGGGCAGCCTCCGCTGGGGTCTGAAAACCCCCTGAAAACCATAGATTGTATGTCTCTGATCAAAATTGACAAGTAAAAAGTTCTGGGGGGTTTCTTACAGGATGCGATACAACACATGCTAATTTTTAATTGAATGAAATTAAAGACATCGCAGAGTCTAAAAAAAGGGTAACAGTTTTCTGAAGGTAAAAATACATGAACCAACCTTGCAAACTACAGTATATATTATATAAATATGAATAATAAAAGAATTTTGTATTATCGACTGCAAGTGCTCCTTATAACACCTCAAGGGAATAATACAGAATAATAACAATATATTCACAGACAACATATTTGAGAAAAAAATAAAAACATTCAACCTTGAAAAAGTATAGTTTTTTTTCCAAGTTAATGTAGTCTTATTCCTGTGACTTTCTTACATTGACTCGTGAACACATATTCCCTAGCTAGATGAGTTTACTTTACTTTGATTTTTGTTTATAATTGACTAATATTTCATCCTGATTTAACAGTTTGGTCCCAAAGATCGGTGGCTTTCGCTCACATTTTGAGCATTTTCACTTTGATATTTGTTTTTTAGATGAATACTTTCAAAATAAAACTATAAACAGACAACTTTGTAAATTTAAAAATTATAAAAAAGCAGGATTTAATTAAAATTGAAGAATCCATAAAGCTTCTAGTCCCGGAAAGTCCAAAGCGATATATTTATTAGAAACTAAAAAAGTATATTCTATGCAGAGCGATAGATAGACGGCATTCTTTCATACAATGCATAGTGGTAAAATATATATGTATGTATGTATGTTACCTTAAGCCGGCCAAATCGTAACACTAAGGTAGAGAGACTTAATGATAAAAAATGATACCCCGGGGAAATATAAAATACGTTGCTTATCGATCAGATTACTTCTATCTAGTGTGATATCTACATAATATATTTATATATATATATATATGTTAGCTATAGCTGGCCAAACGGCTGAGCCAATCTGGATGATTTTTTTGAGAAAACCCAAGGGTGTCTGGGGGTGACATAGACTAAAAAAAATCGATTTTTAATCGATTTTTTCCCCAAAATTCGAAGTGTTTTTAAAATTCAACGGACAACCTGGGCACTAGCTAGAAACATATATGGAGCGAAAGATAGATAGAGAAATAGATAGATAGATAGATAGATAGATAGATAGATAGATAAACACTATATTAAGCAGTATAGAAAGCATGGGAGAATAAAGAAGATTAATTTTGAAACCTGGTAAATGGTGGACCGGGCTGGATAATTATGTGAACTAGGAAACCCAGACAATTATCTTTATAAACTTAAACCAAGTGAGAATTTGATATTTATTCCATGTTAGCTGATATATCTAGATCTATGAAACTTTGAACCACGCTGATCTAGATCTATGAAACTTTGAACCACGCTGGTCTAGATATATAAAAGTTTGCACCACGCTGATCTAGATATTATAAACTTTGAACCACGCTGGTTTAGATATATAAAATGTTGGACCATCCTGATCTAAATGTAGGAAAATTTGAACCACGCTGGTCTAGATATATAAAACTTTGAATCACGGTGGTCTAGATATAAAAAAACTTTGGACCATCCTGATCTAAATGTTCTGACCCTAAAATAGTTTGCACCACGCTGATCTAAATCTTATAAACTTTGGACCACGCTGATCTAGATCTATACAACTTTGGACCACGCTAATCTAGATATATGAACATTAAATTTCTTTAAACCCTCTTCTCAACTAGAAAAGAGAAAAAGAGTATAAAACAAAATAAAAACTTTAATACTTTGAGATTTTTGATTTAAGATGTTTAGATTGTTACGGTGATGAGGAAACCACGAAATAAAATAATAAACTTGAAATCCTAAACTTGTAATAAACTATGGTAGCAGGATTTAACAAAATAAAATAAAATTGAAATGAAAAGATGTTTAAAATGAATAAAAGTTATATTATCATACTCTTAATTGGATAAATAGGTGAACGAATGAATACCTGGTTCAATGAATGTAAGTTGGATAATATAACTATTAAAGAATGAATGAATACCTGGTTATATGAATATAAGTTGAATAATATAACTATTAAAGGATAGATTAACAAATGAATGAATAGCTGGTTAAATGAATATAAGTTGGATAATATAACTACTAAAGAATGAATAAATGAATGAATACCTGGTTAAATGAATATAAGTTGGATAATATAACTATTAAAGGATACATTAATGAATGAATTAATACCTGGTTCAATGAATATAAGTTGAATAATATAACTATTAAAGGATACATTAATGAATGAATGAATACCTGGTTATATGAATATAAGTTGAATAATATAACTATTAAAGGATAGATCAAATGAATGAATACCTGGTTAAATGAATATAAATTAGATAATATAACTATTAAAGGATACATTAAAGAATGAATGAATACCTGGTTATATGAATATAATTTGGATAATATAACTATTAAAGGATGAAAGGATGAATGAATGAATAAAAGGATGAATAACCTGGTTAAATGAATATAAGTTTATAATATAACTACTAAAGAATGAATAAATGAATGAATACCTGGTAGGATGAATATAAGTTGTATAGTATAACTATTAAAAGATGAATGAATAAATGAAAGGATGACTCTGGATAATATATCTACTAAAGAATGAATGAATGAATAAATGAATGAATACCTGGTTAAATGAATATCTGGATAATATAACTATTAAAACAATACTCACGTATACACTAGAGCTATAAACCTGTCACGGGAATCTGACATCTTTACACAAACACACGGACTTACGAACATTGTTACTCACGTTCATTGTTACTCACGTACATTGTTACTCACGTACATTGTTACTCACGTACATTGTTACTCACGTACATTCCTAAACACGGACCGTACCGTACCGAAATTCTTACACACGTACTCACGGTCGTCGGCAATCTTACACACGGACATATTCCGTATATTGGCATTGGATTGGACACACAGAAAACCTTACTCGTGGACTTCTTTACTTACAGACAACCACACTAACAGTCACTAACTTTCTTACGGACACTTTTACACACGTACGGGCATATAAATCTCATCATGACAAACTCACACTTATAAAACGTCCCATGACAACACTCATAATTAACTAATTAAAAGCAAACACGAACACAGCTTTGTATAAATATTGAACAGAAAAGACCTCACAAGGAGTTGCAATTTAAATTTAACAAACAGACAAACATTAACACGAGGAAACACACTTACATCTTGCTACATTTATCCTACTGCAATTGTAAATAAAAACAGAATTTGCCATCCTACCATCCTGCCATCCTACCATCCTTTTTCCTACCATCCTACCATCCTACCATCCTACCATCCTACCATCCTACCATCCTACCATCCTATCTACCCCCTCCCCCTTTCTCCACTCGATCCCTCCTTTGCATTGAACGAAGCCAACTGTTCTAAAGCCAAGCGCAAACAACCCCTATACAACGTAACAAAGCCATTTTATTTTCTTTTATCTCTATCCCTTGATCAGCCAGTCATTTATCTATCTATCTACCCATTACTCTGACCTATGGTTACTATGTAAATAGTATGGTATAGTACTGACCATATTCTATAGGATAATTAAGTAATTTAGTTCAAACTATACCATTCTAGGGGTGTGCACAAATGTTTTAACTCCGGAGTTAAAACATTGGTGCACACCCCTGGAATAGATAGAGACCCCTATCAAGTGAATCTAGAGATGTACATCATGATTAAGCTATATCAATATTAGGGTGTTCAAATATAGCTAAGAGAAATGTTTATGCTATCTTTTACAGCTAGGGGTGTGCCCCAATATTTAAAATATCTTTAGCTAGGGTTGTACACCAATATTTAAACGATTTCTAGCTAGGGGTGTTCACCTATGGATGAACTATCTCTAGCTAGTGGTGTGCACCAATGTTTAAACGTTCTCTAGCAAATGGTGTGCACCAATGTTCAAACTTTCTGTAGCTAGAGGTGTGCACCAATGTTCAA